AGAGTGCTTTTATACCAGCCATTTTCTACAAGAGCCATATTGGTCATCCTATTTGTCCTGAAATACCAAGCTGGCTTTGTAGGGTGGTAACAGCAGCAGAAATTGCGTAAGGCTTCCAAAGTTCTGCCCAGGGCATTTGTAAGCCAGAGGGAAGCAAACTGACACACTACTTCCTCACAGCATCAAAGCAGATACGGGTACAACTTAGCAACTGCTTTAACGTAGAAAAATTCTATGTTAATTCAGTGACTTAAGGCTTTCTAAAGATGTGAATGGCCCACTGTGCCGGTTCAGCGAGGTTCCCACCATGTCCATAGTTTCCTGCCAGAGTTTTCTCTCTTTGGTTACCCTACCATTCCTCCAAAACACCTGCCAGGTTAAGTTAGCGCGCACAGGTCAGATAGTGCCTACAGGCGTGTTTGGTTTGGCCATCATAGCTGCAAATACACGCAGTAGTTTAGAAAAATTTGGTTGCCAACATTTATAAATCAAGAGAGTTCATGTAGAAATCCAAATAGCCAGCCTCACTTGAAAAACTGGCTCTGTCACCACCGAGCCGGCCAGCATTCCTGCGTGCAGCCCTCAGCTGGAGCCAAGTGGCCGCTGCCCTCTTTGACAGGCAAACACTGCCCAGGCTGCCTGGCCCCGGCACAGCCTGCTGCACGGTGGCAGGCCCCTTCCTGGCGCATGGTGGTATCTTGGTTGTGATTCCCTCCCCCCTCAACGTATACCTTCCACACCGAGCACTCCACAGTGTCCAGCAGTGATTCTTAAACTGGACACGGGATTCCTGACTCCTCCCCCAGTCAATTCTGATTTAGTACTTCGGCGCGGGTGGTGACCTCAGGAGTCTGTTTTAATAAGAAAGGTACCCAGGCACTTCTGTGATGTGAACCCACTCACTACCACATGCACAAGTGACTCAGAAAGACTTCTAACACGTTGATTTCAAATGTTGCAGACTGTTACAACAAAAAACAGCTGCTTTCAAGTTCCCTCTTCCAAACTTCAAGTTTTATATAACCGCAGAATGTCATCTGCTCTGGACCTCTTACCCCCTGTCAAGCAAAACATGAGTCCAGCTCAGAGCTCTGTTCATATAGTTGGGATTTACCATGTAACATCCTTCATTTCCCTTCTTCCTCATTATCTTATGAGTGGAAAAATATTGGAAAGTTGAGAAATAAAAGAAGTTTGGAATTATATGCTCTTTTGGGAGGTGAATGCTAGCTTTCACGTAGCTTCACAGAGCCTATTTGATTTGCTAAGGATATCATTTTTGCATTCACTTATGTCCCATCTTACCCCTACTCTGGAAAGATACTAAGTGATTTCCTGAAGTTGATGTGTACCATAGTTGTTAAAGAGTGCAAACACTCCTGGGAGTATATGAGGTCCAACTTTGAGAGCAGAAATTCAGTGTTCTCTGTCCTTTTCAGAGACACGTATCCATCAGGAATCATGAGCAACCCATTTGCACACCTTGCTGAGCCTTTGGATCCTGCACAACCAGGAAAGAAATTCTTCAATTTGAATAAATTGAAGGATCCAAGATATGGTAGGTACATGGCTCTATGATGTAAATGCTCTGACAGCAATTGAAATATAATTGCATAATAATTAAGCTATGTAATAAATTATCCTTAAGGAGAGTTGGAAGAGGGAGGAGCAGAGAATGGCTGAATGGTCTTGGATTAGCACACAAATACGTACATACCCTTCTTACATTGCTCGTTTTCCAGGAGGTAGTAATGATTATATACGTGTAACATTTACATAACACTTAGTATAGAAAGTGTTTGTATATATATGGCTGTGCTTTGATCTTAATTACAATAATTGTAGAGAGATTATTTTCTCATTTTTTAAACACTAGGTTTCATAATACACTGTGTGTGTATTACTCTTCCTAACACATAATACAGTAAATGCTCTAGACTGATTTCATTCATGATGACTTAAGGAAAACTCTTATTGGATTCCAAGACAAGGTAAACATTTATTATGAAAGGATTATTATATTTTATTTTTGCCTAGTCTGGGTATTTTCTGATACTGTCTCTTAAACCCATTCAGTATCCTTATATTTTAAACTGTTGAGATCTGTTTAAATTAACCCTCTTTCCCTGTTGGAAGAATAGTGTCACACCTTGTATCAAGTTTGTATAGAGATTGGCTTTAAAGAGCTCTTAGAAGGTGTCACATGGTTTTTGTCTGTTTGGTTATACTTTCTCCTTTACTCCTAGAACGCTTACCATTTTCTATCAGAGTTCTCCTGGAGGCAGCCATTCGGAACTGTGATCAATTTTTGGTGAAGAAAAATGATGTTGAAAATATCCTAAATTGGAATGTCTTGCAGCATAAGAACATAGAAGTGCCATTTAAACCTGCCCGCGTCATCCTGCAAGACTTCACGTGAGCCTAATGTCATTTCACTTTCTTCTTCTCTGCCTCCCTTGTCAGCCTTTAAAGAAAGCTCTTTAAAAACAAAAATAAAAAACACGGTGACTGTATAATTTTTCACCCAATATTCCAACACTTTTGAAAGCAAAAGGGGACTGCTATCCCAGATGGCAAGAGGTAATCTCAGGCAAATCAAGATACATGCTCACTCTACCTTTCCCAGTGGCAAAGGTCATTGTCCTTGGTCTGGAATATCCTAGTCTTAAATATACTAGCAAAAGTTGAAAGAAATAGCGTGGAGTGGAGCTGTCTGGGAATCTTTTCTCCTCCACATCCTGTCACCCAGGGAGCCAGGTTTCAAACAGCTGTCCTTGGACCACGGATGTGTATCACCTGAGGGGATATTCGTAGCTCACAAGGCCTGATTTGTTACTGTTAAGCCTCAGCTCACATCCTGCTATGCCCAGGAACTGCTCCCCATCATGACCTCATTTTGAAACACTACCTTTTCATTTTTAAATGATGTTATTTTGTTCCTTCTGGAGACCAAATTTCACTTTTCTAGAGGAAGATCACCCACATTTTATCTCTAATATAATAAAAAGGAAGGATTCAGTTAATGTAAATTTGATTCATAGCCTACTTCTCTGAATTACATCCATTCCTTTAAATGTGGTCTGAAGTTGAAGGGTGTGATCTGTATGTCTTGTCTGGGTCTTTGTCACTCCACCATGTGAATGGGGAGCAGTCATGGCAGACAAAGTTGCAGAGTTTTTAAGTGCCAGCTTTCCCATAGTTTCTCCATTTAGACCACATTGGTTTTTAACTTTAACTCAGGGATAAAACTGCATGCGGAGAGACCACTCAGTTGTGCACTTATATGATTTCTGCTTGAGGAGATGTGTTTAGAAACTTCCACTTTTCTAACTCATCCATTGTCAGCTCCACTGATGAGACAGTCCCACTGCCAATATTATTAGAAGCGGCAAAGCTGAAAAATCCCATGACACTTGATTAATAGATTTATTTTCTGCTTAATTCTCTCTTTTCTTAGGGGTGTGCCAGCTGTGGTTGACTTTGCTGCCATGCGTGATGCTGTAAAAAAGTTGGGAGGAAATCCAGAGAAAATAAACCCCATCTGTCCTGCTGATCTTGTCATTGATCATTCCATCCAGGTTGATTTCAGCAGAAGGTGAGAGATGAGGATGAACACTTGAGGTGGAGTGTAAGTCTTTCAGTGTGTTTGTGTATGTAGTTAAATAAAAGAAGAAAATCTTTAAAAGGTATATTCAGGAAACCTCAAACTTAATATGTATTTTCCCTGAAGTTATGTTTTGGATGGGGGATGAATTTTTTTAATGTTTTTTTGTTTGTTTCCATTTACTTCTTGGGTGGGAGCAGCCTGTGTGAAAACACACACACATGGATTTCTGCCATGAGAGCTTGTTAATACAAGTACATGTTTCACTTATTTTAAATGAGTTTTGCTTTTTTTTTAAACCATGGAGCCATATTCCTTTTTGATTCCAAGTAACTGTTTCATATCTGGTGGCCATCTCTGTCTCTCCATGTAGGTTTCCAAAATGTCTGTCTTCCTGTGTTCCTTCTTCTATTGTTTGTGATATCTACTTCTCTCTTTCTGTCCAAATCCTACCAGTCCTACCAATAAAATCTCAGTGGTAGTACACAATAAGAATTTATTTCTCACACTCCTACAAGTCGGTTAGGAGGTCAGCTGATCTAAGCTAAGTGCAGCTGAGCCGCTGTGCTTCATCCAGCCTGGCTGGGTTGACTACTTTACCGCACATCAGTGGGGCAGGTGGTACAGCTCCAAGAAAACAGCTAGCTAGTGATCAGAGAGGCTCAAGAAGCCAGTTGGGAACCTGCAGTTCTCTCTCGATCGGAACTGGCACTGTATCACTTCTGTTCACAATGACAGTAATCAAAGCAAGTCACAAAGTCAAGCCCAAAGTCAGGGGTGGAGGAGTAACACTCCATCTCTTGCAGAAATAGCTGCAAGATTACACAACAGGGACTTGGCTATAGGAAGGGCAATCAGGTGCTACTAGAAAGCTGATATCCTAACGCAGAAATATAACGAAGGAAAGGCATTATCAACTTCAGATAGAACTTTAATTAGAAAGAAAGAATGGTTCTCCATACTATGCTGGGAAAATTATTTGGCAGAGAGAGCAGTTCATATGAATTAAAGCATTAATATTTTCAAATTAAATAATGGAAAAATTTAGAAAAAAATTAATTATACATGTGTCAAATGTCTTAATTAGAAAGACCTTTCTAAATTTAGAAAGCAATAAATGAAAAAAGGGGGGAAATCTATAGATTTGACTTCAAAGTTAACAGGAGATAATTTGAAAAATATATTCAACAAAGATGACAAAGGGTTAATATCCTTAATATATAGAGTATATATAATCCTTCAAAAAAAAACAAAACAGAACAGTAAAACCCAGAAAAAAAATGGGCAAAGGAAAGCGGACATTTCACAATAAGAGGAAATGCAAATGATAAATACATAAAGCCTTTTCAACCTTACAAATAATAAAAAAGTAAATTAAATCCTCGAGATACCATTTTCTCTTACCAACATAGTTAAGATTAGAAAATAAACATTTTTAATTATAAAGGTGTCATGAGAGAGGCACTTTTATACACTGCTGGCAGCATTGCAAATTAGAAATGATGAAAGTAAAATGTATTAGAATCTTTAGAAATTGCCATCATCCATCTTGGAATTTCCACTTCTAACCCTACCCCTTGCAGGTATCTGAAAATCAGAAAAAGCTTAACGACTAAATAGTGCTCATTAAAGTATTATTTATAATAATGAAAACTGAGAAGCATTCTAAATGTCTAACAAAGGAGAGTGATTTATTAAATTATAGTACATCCTTAAAGTGAATTACTAGGTAACCTTTACAGTTATATTTATGTGCTTAATGGCACTTGTAATATACTTATAGCTCAATGAACCAAAATATGTATAAACTGCATATGTGGAGTGATCTCAGCTACATGAAGAGCTAGGCAGTGATTAAAATATTGGAAACAGAGGTGACAAACTGCTAAGTCATTATCTCTGGGACTACCATTTGTTCTTCATTTTTACAATAAGAAGCTGTTGTTTTTGTAATAGAGAAGTCATTTAAGAATATGAAACGAACCACTCAAAGGAAAAGGAAAAAAAACTTTATCTGCTTCCTTGGGGATTTAAGTGAGCTCCATATAGGCTCAAGAGAAATGTAGAAATTGGTCACTGTCTAATGAATGTTGCCAATATCCAAAGCAGAGAAACTCAGGATAGAGAGAGATCTGCTTTGTCCCGTGAATTGACAGTTCTTGGAACAAACCAAATGGTTACTTGCCAGCTTTTCCCTTCCCTTTGGACCCTAAACCCACCCTTAGGCAGCATGCCCTTTTTTTCCCTCTTAAATCCCCATGAGCTCAATTTAATGTTCTGATTTCAGAGGGAAGAGTTAAAAATATACGCACAACCTATTATCCTGATTGAGAGTAAGTAAGTCCCACTTCAGAAATTATAAAAAGTAACTTCACAAATCATGGGCAGTATTATCTTGAAGAATAATTTCACTGGTGTTGATAGCTTTTCCTTTATTTCTCTGGCCTGGAAGGTGACAGTGGAGATAGAATTGGAATTGTTACAATGTAAAGTTATTTGACTCAAAACTCGAAGCGCTCTTGACTACTGAGCAGTTAAAGAATCTGGGTCATCACCAAGTTCACTGTGATTTTTTTTTTCTCTTTAAACCTTGACATCCACCAACTCTGGTTTCAATTTTTTATGGACCTTTTTCATTTACACTCTAATACTGAAAACATTATTATGAAAACAGCAAAGTTCAGGGGTGAACCTTGATCCAAAATGATACCCAAATCTAGCAAACATTTTTTTTATTTAAAGAGAAACATTTCTGTTAGAAGTATTTTCATTGGTAGTGTTTTGTTATTATTTCTTGAGTTTGGTTTTGCAATTTGACCTCCCAGTCTCTTTACTCATTTTTATTAGAATGTCTCAACTTTTGTGGAACTGTGTGCTGTGGGCTTATTTCCAGCTGTTTCCAGGAATGAACTGGAAAAACTGGGTAAGGGGTAATGAAAGGGTGAATTTTCTCAGTTAAGTATTTCTAAGCTCTTTCCCTGGTCTGAATAATATTAATTGGTCTCACGGCCTCTTTAGGTGTTGAGGATCTAACTAATGCATTATTGTCATGTTTTACACAGTTATCTCAGCAATGACTCTTTTAATCCCAACAAGAATATCATAACAATTTCTGACGAGATTTCATGAGTGTCAAAACTATCTCCTTTGTAAATACTGTCAGTGACTATCTGGAGTACCATTAAATGTAATACTCAGAAACTTTGAACTACATCCAAATCTGATTTCAAATTACGTAAATAAGGAGAAATTTCCTCTTTGGTCTGTGAGGCCATTCACATTCAGAGACCTTATTAAAAGTTCACAGAATGGGTGAATCAAGGAAAGTTCTAAGTGGTGGAAAAATCTGAATTCTAGGTCTGTTGATTCATTCCAATAACTAGAACTAACTTACTTGAGCCAAGGTTAGCCTAAAAGTATTTTATTTTAATGAGTAAATAGGTTTTTTTTACCTAGAATTAACACATCTTAAAACAGCCTAAGCACTTCTGGCTTCTGCTTGTACTGTGACTGTGTTATTTACATCAAACTGATGTTCCCAGCATTCTCTGGGGTAAATATCCCTCTTCCAACTCTGTTTCTGCTGTGAGAAGCCTGGACATCCTTCTGGAGGCAAGAGGACAGGCATGATGACTGGGAGTCCACATGTGCTCAGAGCACAGCAGAAGCGACGAGGGCACCAGAGGCAGGGCCATACACGATTAAGAATAACATTCTAAGATGCCTTCCCTTTTTCTTTGGTTAAAATTAAATCCACTTAACAGACCTACTATGTGCCAGTATTTGTTCAAGAAGCAGGTTAGTTTAGAAGAGAGAGATTAAAGAACACATAGCTTGAATGCAGTTGGTAACTGTAGGAACCACAGAGGAGGAGACAAATCACCCTGACTTGGGGAGTCAGGGGGCTCTTCCAGGAGTATCACGTGATCTGAGGTCCCAGGGGTGTTTACTAAAGAGAGAAGAGCGGGAAAGACATTCCACACAGAACAGAGCATGCAAAAGCATGAGTAAAGTAGGGTCTGGGAGTATGAGGGCCACGTTGTGACTGAAGTTGAAAGTCTGGACTGGAGGATGGGAGAGGGCTTATAAAGGAAGTCTGAGGTCAGACTGACGGACTTTTTTTTTTTTTTTAAGGCAAGGGATTTGTACTTTATTTAGAAAATGGGATCCACTGGCAGATTCAAGATAGGTTGTGATGAACTGTATTTTGGAAAACCGATTCTGGTGACAGTACAAAAGATAAGTTGAGTGGACTGAATACTTTGATAACTGTAGGTACAAAGTGGGAGGAGAGGAAGTCATTAGATGAGAGATGGACAGACAGGGATGAGGAAGAGATTTAGGAAAGAAGGTCATGTATTAGGGTTTGACCTGTTGAGTTTGTGATGCCCGAGGTGTTCCTGATGCGGATGCCCAGGATACATTGGGACTATGGATCTGGTCCTGAAGAGACAGGTGGGGGGGGGGTACTGGAGGGATGGAGCCCCCAGTGTACTAGTGAAGGCTGAGATGAGTACCTTGAGGAATGGCTACATCTGGTGGAGGGTCGACAGGGGCTGCTGATTGGGGGTCAGGATGGGATCAGAAATGCCTTGTTCCACTACAGCAGGATCTCTCCTCTATTTCTTTTCTTTTTCTCTGACACGTACACACATCCACAGACCTTCATTCTCCATGTCGGGGATCAGCTAACTTGTACTGTAAAGGGTCAATATGAAATACTTCAGGTTTTGTTGACTACATACTATCTCTGTTCATATATTTTTCTTCCATCCTTTAAAAATATAAAGATTATTTTTTGCTTGAGAGCCAAACATATACAGGTATTGGACCAGATTTGGCCTGTGAGCCAGTTTGTGGACCCCTGCTCTAAGGTTCTCTCAGGAATTGATTACATCAAAGCAACTAACACTTATCTTGAAGAATATTCACATCAAGAGAAAAGACAAAAATCAGCGTGGTAACTGAATGTATTCTTGTACGGTAGACAACAGCCTCCAGCCCTTTTCTTCTCAAGGAGTGCCTACCCACTGTTATCTGGCAGACTGCCCCTCGCCCCTCAGACTACATCGACGTCACTTCTTCCCGGAAGGCACCCCTGGCTCCCTGGTGGTGCACGGCCCTTTCTGACGGCTCCCATGGCTCCCTGTACTGCCCGTATCATGACACGGATGGTCACTCTCGTACAGTTGCCTGGTTGCCGTTTGCATCTCTCACCAGGCTCTGAGCCCCAGCTGGGCAGTGCACATGCCACTGCACCATCATGTGCCCAGCATGTGGCAGAGGTCAGCTCTGTAGCTCATTAATAAGCGAAGGAAGAAGGTGGGTATACTGGTTAAGACAGAGGCTCCAGGACTAGTCAGACCTGGGTTCAGGTGACAGCTCTGCAGTCTACAAGCATCTGACCCTGGAGAAGTTCTAAGTCTTTCTGTGCCTCAGCTTCCTCTTCGGTACTTTGGGGCAACAGCAGTACCTACGTGAGGGGTTGTCACTACGACTACATGAGTTCCTGGCTATAAAGCACTTGGCGCCTACGATGTATCTAGCAACCCTACACTTCAGCTCCTGCTGTTATTATTATGATAGTTGTTGTTATTACCACTATGACCATTCCTGCTACAGCTTCTGTGACTGCTGCGACAGGGAGCAGTATGGTAGCACTCTGGAATCAGACTGCCTGGGTTTCAGTTCCAGTTCCATTTACTAGCTGTGTGGTCCTGAGCAGGTTTCTTACCCTCTCTGTGTCTCAGTTTCCTCTTGAAAAAAATGTGGATATTAGTTGCACCTAACTCAATGGGATGTTTTGGCAACTAAATGAGAAAACACATGTAAAGCATTTTAAATAGTGGCCGATTCCTAATAGTGTCAGCCAGTGTAACTATCAATTAGTGAAGTCAGACTTGGGTCCCAACTATTAATTTTACTGTCCTTTTCTATATTCACTCAATCCATGGCACAGTTTATAAGCCTTTCCTGTGTGCTAAACATGCAAGGTTGCAACTATGACTTATTCTACCTTGACTCAAAACAGTGTAGTTTGATTATAAAAATTCTGGAGAAGCTTCCTGATACCCTGCATTGTCCGTGGCGGTCCTGATGGACGGAATGACTTTAAGCAAACCTCGGC